ACTGTGCATACAGGTGGGGTTTGGGGGTGAATTACTTTAGCTCTGGGCATTTTAGTTCATCATTATCCAGAGAGCCCTGAACCCAGGCGATGTCACATCTGGACCACACTTGGCACACAAACCCAACATGGCCAACTGTGCATACAAGTCCGGTTTGGGGTGATTGTCCTTGGCTTTTGGAGTTGTAGTTCACCCTTATCCACAGAGCACTGAAACCAGCCAACTATGGATCTGGACCAAACCTGGCACGCAGACCCAACATGGCCAACTGTGCATATAGGCGGGGATTGGGGGTTAATAACCTCTGATCTGGGAGTTGTATCAAGAGAGCACTGAATGCAGCCAACATTGGATCTAGACCAAAGCTAGCACACAACATGGCCAATTTTGAATACTGGTGGGGTTTGGGGTGATTGGCCCAGGATTCTGGGGACTTTCAGTTCAACCACATCCTTATGCATTTTCTAATGGGGTTATTCATAGAAAACAACAGGAAAGACTGGCTTTTTCCTAAGAAATAGAGTTACAAATTACAAAATTGATATTAAATAACACCCAAAACAAACAGTACCTTTTTCAGATAATCAGGGCCAACATAACATACTGGAAGGGTTTGGAGGGGGGGGGGGGTGAACCGCCTCTGCGAGACTTGTAGTTCACCCTGCATCTGGAGATATTATCAAACTTTCCAAAACAAACAATGCCTTTCTCAAGTAACCCAGGCATCGCTGGGTCCCCAAGCTAGTTCTAAATAAAACACAGTTTCAATCAGTCTTGTGAAAAAGTCAATATGAGGGGCATTTCAGACTCAAGAGATCTGAGATTTAAATCTCCAAAGTATAAAGTATCTCTTCGCCAAGATGTAAACCTGTACAATTCCTACTCAAATCTGGCACTGGAGACTGAATACTGAATTGTAATATTATAATTTTAATTATAATATTTTAAAGTTTATAAGCTATTTCAGATCTTGTAGCCGAACAAGGAGCCCCTGGTGACTCAGTTGGTTAGAGCACTGAGCTGCTGAACCTGTTGACTGAAAGGTCAGTGGTTCAAATCCAGGGAACAGGGTGCGTTCCCATTGTTAGCCCTAGTTTCTACCAACCTAGCAGTTTGAAAACATGCAAGTGTGAGTAGATCAATAAGTACAGCTTCTGCGGGAAAGTAACGGCGTTCCATGCAGACATGCTGGTTACATGACCTTGGAAGCATCTACAGACAACGCCGGCTCTTTGGCTTAGAAATGGAGATGAGCACCACCCCCAGAGTTGGACACAAATGGACTTAATGTCAGAGCTAGCTTTACCTTAGCTGAATAAGTAAAAAAAAACTATCGAAGTATAGTCTGAGAACCAGCACATTGGCACTTCTGAATAGCTTTTCTAAATAGCATGTGCAGTATTGTTTCAGATCTTAGTTTCAAATAAGGATACACAGTATAGGGCTTTATGTCATTTAGATACTGTTTACAGTAATTAGATAACAAATGATTGAGTACTGAGTAAAGGCTGGTTGTTTCTTTTCCACAAAAACTTTTCCTAAAAGCAATTAAGATTTGCGCTACTGTTTGTGCATATATTTACACATGCACACACAAAAGATGCCTGTTACACACTTGCTCAAGTAACAGAAATTCATTCAAATTTATATCCACTCTATCAAGTGCAAGGCACAATTCAGAAGTTTCTTACAGTCCATCCCCATGTCTTCTTTGGAATGTATAGTTAAATTAACTTTTAAAAACATTCTGAAGGAGTTAAAAATAAATCCAGACATACACACCAATATAAATATTACTGCTAAGCAAATAGGGCTCGACAGAGAATATTAACGTAAGGGATTTGTCATTTTTGTAAAAAAAAAATTTTTTTAAAAAACCTTTTATAGACCCCGCCACCATCTCCCTGAGGGATTCAAAGGTTCAAACACATAAAATACAAAACTTGCAGAAACAATGACATAAAACAATAACAGTCAACATAAATATCTGATTTCACAAAACGTCCTGATTAAAATCAGAAAAATACAGCAATAGCTGCAGGTATAAAACAACAATAGTCAATCTCAGTCATGTAAAGTGCTGGGTGAAATCTATGGGTCCTAATGTATATTCTTTAAAGGAATCGAAATATGGCCAAAGGCTTGTCAACAATGCCTTTAGAAAACGTAGATGTCCATAATATCCAGATTTCATTTGGATGGGGAATGCTTTATTCCCTAACTTCTCAGCAACAGAAGTATACAACTTAATGTCATAACTGGTTTTGCTTCTTTGCAGACCTACTAAGAAGTAAACCCAGCTAAGCCCATCTGCTCTGTGTGTAAGGATCTCTGTGCTTATTAATGTTCTCACTGTCATGGAGCACAGTGAATCCACTCAGAGAGAAACAGAGAATCCCAAGGTGAGGAAACCTATGCACCTGCAACTGCAGGCAGGTGCATTCTGGTGATGGCTTAGTCTCAAACGCGAACAATGCCTTTGCAGAAATCATTATGTGAGGCTTAACTCGAAAGGGCAGATACAGACCCCTTCGCTCCCCCAGCCCTTTTCTCTTTTGATATCTTCCTCTGATCCCAGTGTGATCGACAAACGTGGCGCCTGGCCCTTTAAAAACAGCTTCCCGTCCAAAGCCAGCAGAGGGAGGCGAGGAGACCGTCTCGCCAGCTCCATCGTGACTCTGTTTTTGTTAAATGGGGGGCATTTAAATGTCCTGTTGTCAATCAAAGCGCACTTCCCTTTAACAGCGGTGGTGCTTCCCTGGATAAATATTGCTCAGGGCTCAAAACTTCAGAAAGCAAGAAAATAAAAGGCGCCGTCCAGTTTCCAAGGAGGAAAGATCAAAGCCCATGCGAGGAAAAGGAGCCACTTGCGCCACCAAGCCTTGAAACTTACTCCTTTGTTTAAATGCCCACCAACAACCCTCCTCCTTCTCATCCTGGAAGCGGAACCAGCTCTGGCTGAACGAAGCGCCGGATGGTCCTTTTATTTTGCCAGCCACGCTGTTCATACCTATCTCTCTCATATATAAATATATATACACACACACATATATACACGCCATCCCCTGCCACGCGTTGCTGTGGCCCACATGGGGCTCCTGTGTGGGAGATTTTGCCCAATTCTATCGTTGGTGGGATTCAGAATGCTCTTTGATTGTAGGTGAACTATAAATCCCAGCAACTACAACTCCCAAATGACAAAATCATTTTTTTTTTGAGTGAAGGACATACATTGGGTTGTTAGATGTATTGTGTCCAAATTTGGTGTCAGTTCAGTGGTTTTTGAGTTCTGTTAATACCACAAACGAACATTACGTTTTTATTTATATAGATATGTGTGTTTGCGTATATATGTGGTTTTGTAATGTATTTTTATTTTTTGGCTTTTTAAGCCTCTTCTGCTGTGTTTTCAGTGTTTTTATGAGTGATGGTCACTCGTTGGCCTGATAGGTGTGTTGTGTCCAAATTTGGTGTCAATTCGTCCAGTGGTTTTTGAGTTATGTTAATCCCACAAACGAACATTACATTTTTATTTATATAGACTGTAGATGCAGCATTGAATATTGGCATAGCGCATGTGTTGTAATTTTTTTTGGCTTTTTAAGTCTCTTCTCCTGTGTTTTTCAGTGTTTTTATGAGTGATGGTCACTTGTTGGTCTGATAGGTGTATTGTGTCCAAATTTGGTGTCAATTTGTCCAGTGGTTTTTGAGTTATGTTAATCCCACAAACGAACATTACATTTTTATTTATATAGTGTGTGTTTTTGTGGTTTTGTGCATGCATTGTAATGTGTTTTTTTTTTTTGCTTTTTAAGTTTCTTATGCTGTGTTTTTCAGTGTTTTATGAGTGATGGTCACTCGTTGGCCTGATAGGTATATTGTGTCCAAATTTGGTGTCAATTTGTCCAGTGGTTTTTGAGTTATGTTAATCCCACAAATGAACACTACATTTATATTTATATAGATGTATAGAAGGTAGAAGATATATATGAAATGAGCAAAAGACGGGCATCAAGTCACATTAAAAGGTGAATGAAAGGGGGGGGGGGATCCCCTTCAAGGTAGGCAGGACAAGAGGGGGACACAACCCCCCTCTGAAATATACAAACATAAACACACAAAGGCACAGCAGTTTTTATGAGTGATGGTCACTCGTTGGCTTGATAGGTGTCTTGTGTCCAAATCTGGTGTCAATTTGTCCAGTGGTTTTTGAGTTATGTTAATCTCACAAACGAACGTTACATTTTTATTTATATAGAAGGTAGAAGATATATATGAAATGAGCAAAGGACGGGCATCAAGTCACATTAAAAGCTGAATGAAAGGGGGGAATTCCCTTCAAGGTAGACAGGACAAGGGGGGGAGACACAATACACAAACGAAGGTAGAAGATATATATGAAATGAGCAAAGGACGGGCATCAAGTCACATTAAAAGCCGAATGAAGGGGGGGGGAGGGAAATCCCCTTCAAGGTAGGCAGGACAAGAGGGGGACACAACCCCCCTCCGCAATACACAAACATAAACACACAAAGGCACAGCAGTGCAAGAAACCAAACAAGGGGCTCAACTTTTCCCAGGCAGGCTCCAAACTCCTCCAAAGAAGCCCCCGTCTAGGCTGCGGCGTCCTTATGTAACTCTTTTATTATTTGTGTGGGATGAGAGAGACACAGAGAGAGAGACACAGAGAGAGAGAGAGAGGCTCCCAAACGCCGCTTCCTGGTTCCCGGAAACCCCAACAAATAAATACAGGCGCACACGGCCGCCGACTCCCCTTCCCTTCCCTTCCCCGCATTGTCTTGTTTGTTGTCTTCGCCGGAAGAGGGTCTTCCCCTCACTCWCACACACACACACACGCGTGCAGCCTCCGGGAGGGAAGGGGGGGAGGGAGGGGGCAACGCGTTGTTGTTGTTTCCTTCTCTCTCTCTCTCACCCCCCCCCTCCTTCCCTCCCCGGCCTGGCCCTCTTCTTGGCTCCGTCTCTTTCTCCCTGCTTTTTACCTGCCGTGGAACCAGTCCTTGCATATGTCGCACTCGATCATAAAGCGGCTCACGTCGTAAGGCTCCCGGCAGACGCAATAGACGGGCGTCGTGGCGGCGCTCGTGGCGGCGGAGGAGTTGTTGTTGTTGCTGCTGCTGCCGGTGGCCGTCGCCTCCGCCGCCGCTCCGGCCATCTTTAAAGAACTCGCTCACTCACTTCTCTCCCTTGGACTGACTGACTGACTGTGACTGGATGGCTGACTCGCTGGCTGGCTGGCTCCTTCCCTCGCGCGCCCCCTCCTTCCCTCGACCAACAGCCGCCAGCCTAGCCAGTTCTGTCAGTCAAGCCGGCTGGGCCAATCAGGGACGCGCGCGTGCCGGGGGCTTTCCTCCCTCCCCTCCACCTCCTCTTCTCTTCCCTTCTCTTCTTCACCACTACGCGCGTGCGCGGTACGCTCCCAACGTTGAGCAAGCTCGCGCACGCTATGTTGTTTCTTTCTCTCTCTCTCTCTCTCCTACAAGAGCGCGCGGCGGCAAAGGGGACAGTCACGTAAGGTACATTTCGGAGCATGCGCCGTAAACGAGAGAGAGAGAGAGATTGAGAGAAAAAAAGGGAGGGAGCGGAGAAAGGAGCGCAGTCCTCCTCCTCACGTCAAAAAACGCACGTGCGCACGCACTCACGCACACAAAGGGGTGGGAAGTACTGTTGAAAAGGCGTGCGCGCGCCTCCCCCCCCTTTCCGGAAGTTATTTTCCTTCCCTCTCTCTCTCTCTCTCTTTCTCCTCCTTTTGGCCCCCGGCCCTCTCTCGATCTGAATTGTACATAAGAGAGAACAGAGCACGTGCCAAGCAACCACCACAACCGCCCTCCTTTCTTCTCTCCACCCCCTCCCTCCCTCCCTCCCCCCTCTGGTGGGCGGAGCTCGAGACGGAACAAACGTTGGCCCCGCCCCCCCTTCCACTCCTTCCTTCCTTCCTCCCTCCCCCCTCCTCCCGTTCCATTTTGAGTAGGCGGAGCTCGAGACGGAACAAACGTTGGCCCCGCCCCCTTCACTCCTCCTTCCTTCCTCCCTCCTGTTCCATTTTGAGTAAGCGGAGCTCGAGACAAAACAAACGTTGGCCCCGCCCCCTTCCACTCCTCCTTCCTCCCTCCCCCTCCCCTTTCCATTTTGAGTAGGCGGAGCTCGAGACGGAACAAACGTTAGCCCCGCCCCCTTCCACTCCTCCTGCCTTCCTCCCTCCCTCCCTCCCTTCTTTTCTTTCCTCCCTCCCCCCTCCCATTCCATTTTGAGTGGGCGGAGCTCGAGACGGAACCAACGTCGGCCCCTCCCTCTCCTCCTCCCTCTTCCCTCCCTGCCCCCTCCCTCCCTTTCCCGAACCCCGTCACGTGCCGGGAGGATGAAGGTGCCGCGAGGACATCGGATACTTAAAAAAAAAAAAACACCTCGTACGCTCGCTCGCGCGTTTACGGAAATTGCCGAAAAGAGCCGAAGGGCTTGGCTTTGGTTTCTTCGGAAGGGGAAGCTCTCAGGAGAAGACTCTAACCTTCCAATACCATTTTTTTAACCTCAGGAATATCCGCTGGATAATGGAGTTTCAGAAAAACATCTATTTCTGTTTCATTGACTATTCTAAAGCCTTTGACTGTGTGGATCATAATAAATTGTGGCAAGTTCTTGTTGGGATGGGGATACCAAGCCACCTTGTCTCTCTCCTGAGGAATCTGTATAAAGACCAAGTAACAACAGTCAGAACTGAGAATGGAACAACAGACTGGATCAAGAATGTTATTAATTTTGTTATTAGCAAAAATGGGTATGATCAAAACCAAAAAAGGCAAGGACCTAACAGAAGTTGAAGAGATAAAGAGAAGGTGGCAAGGTTATACAGAAGAGTGGTATAGGAAGGATAATAATATTGAGGATAGCTTTGACGGTATGGTGAGTGAATTAGAACCAGACATCCTGAGGAGTGAGGTTGAATGGGTCTTAAGAAGCATTGCTAATAACAATGCAGCAGGAGATGATGGGATCCCAGCTGAACTGTTTAAAATCTTGAAAGATAATGCTGTCAAGGTGATGCATGCCATATGCCAGCAAATATGGGAAACACAAGAATGGTCATCAGATTGGAAAAAATCAACTTATATCCCCATACCTAAAAAGGGAAACTAAAGAATGCTCAACCTTTCGTACAGTGGCACTTATTTCACATGCCAGTAAGGTAATGCTCAACATCCTGCAAGGAAGACTCCAGCAATACATGGAGAGAGAGTTTCCAGATGTACAAGCTGGGTTTAGAAAAGGCATAGGAATGAGAAACCAGATTGCCAATATCCGCTGGATAATGGAGAAAGGCAGGGAGTTTCAGAAAAAACATATATTTCTGTTTTGTTGACTATTCTAAAGTCTTTGACTGTGTGGATCATAATAAATTGTGGCAAGTTCTTGGTGGGATGGGCATATCAAGCCACCTTCCCTCTCTCCTGAGGAATCTGTACAAGGACCAAGTAGCAACAGTCAGAACTGACCACGGAACAACAGACTGGTTCAAGATTGGGAAAGGCGTACAGCAGGGTTGTATACTCTCACCCAATCTATTCAACTTGTATGCAGAACAAATCATGTGAGGTGCAGGGCTTGATGAATGCAAGGCATGATTAAAATTGCTGGAAGAAACATTAACAATGTTAGATATGCAGATGATACCACTTTGATGGCCAACAGCAAGAAGGAGCTGAGGAGCCTTCTAATTGAGGTGAAAGAAGAAAGTGCAAAAGCTGGGTTGCAGTTAAACATTAAAAAAAACTGAGATGATGGCAACCAGACTGATTGATAACTGGGAAATAGAGGGAGAAAAGGGTGGAGGCAGTGACAGACTTGCAGGAACCCCTGGTGGCACAGTGGGTTAAACCCCTGTGCCGGCAGGACTGAAGACCAACAGGTCGCAGGTTCAAATCCGGGGAGAGGCGGATGAGCTCCCTCTATCAGCTCCAGCTCCTCATGCGGGGACATGAGAGAAGCCTCCCACAAGGATGATAAAAACATCATCCGGGCATCCCCTGGGCAATGTCCTTGCAGACGGCCAATTCTCTCACACCCGAAGCGACTTGCAGTTTCTCAAGTCGCTCCTGACACGACAAAAAAAAGTGACAGACTTTGTATTTCTAGGTGCAAAGATTACTGCAGATGCAGAATGCAGCCAGGAAATCAGAAGACGTTTCCTTCTTGGGAGGAGAGCAATGTCCAATCTCGATAAAAAAGTGAAGAGTAGAGACATCACACTGGCAACCAAGATCTGCATAGTTAAAGCAATCGTATCCCCCATAGTCACTTATGGATTTGAGAGCTGGACCATAGGGAAGGCTAAACGAAGGAAGATAGATGCTTTTGAACTGTGGTGTTGGAGGAAAGTTCTGAGAGTGCATTGAACCTCCAGAATAGCCAACCAGTCCATACTTCTGATGGCGAGAGCCCCTGCCATATAATTGGTCTGTACCGCAGCAGGGAGTTCCGCAGTTCCGTAAAGCAAAGTTGGGTCCGAACTGATGAAATGTGCCCCAGCCAGCAGCTCAAAGCAAAGGACTGCATGAAGCTTTCTTTCACTTTCCCCTCTCCCTATCTTTGTAACCAATCCCTCAATAAAACACTTAAGTTTTGAAACTTAGAATCCTTTCCGCTTGATACTTTGTGTCCCTTTACTGACTGCAGCTTTTTCTAACTCACCATAAACCTTTTTCTGAGCTCCGGGGAACCGTGAGCTCACTGGGGACGCCTTCCTGGCCTCCCCAGGCCCCCGGATTTGCATTAGCTAAAATCGTGGATACGGAGGTTTTCCAAATGGCGGATCAGGCCCGTTCAAATTTTATATTTTTCTACATTAACTTCTAAGACTAACTGCTATCTTGGTTTCCTCATTTTGGACTCCTGCACTCGTGGAATAATTGTTTTTGGGTTAATCATTAAATTCGGCCGAGTCACCAGCTGATTGTCAAAATTCGCCGGTTTTGCCGCTTGCTCCATTTCGCTCGCTGCCGCTCGCTCCAGTATGGTTCCTGCCGCCTGCGATCCACCGCCGTGGCCCAAGGGGAAGCCTTGGAAGTGGGGACCGGGCAGGGAAGGCCCGATCCCCGGATGGGAGCGCTAGTTCCACCAAGGATGGGACAGCGGAACGTAGCTCCCCCTTCAGCTCCAGCTCCTGTTCCAAGAATGGACTGATCTTCTAATGGCCAGCCTAAACCATAGGCTGGCCCCTGCATCCAAGCCCCTCTGTTCGGACTTTTGAGATTTCTGGGCTTTCTTTCCTTTTTATGAAATGAAATAAAAATGAAATACTTTCTCATGGATGAAGGGTTGGGATGGGTGGTGGGTTGTGATACATGAAATGCCTGTATATGGATGATGCCTGTATTTTGTAATTATGAAATATGTATTCCTCAATGAACTCCCCTGTGTCTTCGCCCCCTTGACCTTTTACCCCATGAAGCCAGCCTGACCAGGAACTGCCTGAGGGAAAGAGCCCAAGCCTCTTTTCCCCAAATCACCCATTGATTGACTCATTTTGCATGGACAATGCTGCTGGCCCCCCCCAATTTCGTCTTCGGAGCAAGGCCAACGAAGGAGGGCAGGGTCAGCAGAGCCTCGGAATAAAAGACTGATTGATTCACTCAGAAATTGTTGATCCTCCGGGCGGTCCGATTTCGACCCAGCTATTCATATCACTTGCCAGACCCATTAAGGACAGGAAAGCCTTTGTTTGACAAACATCACCTGGGACAATGGCCCGCATTCCAGCGGGCAGGAAATCCCAAATCCCATCATCTCTCCCCCCATTGTCCACGGCTGTCCCGCCTCCTCGCTCCTGATTGGCCAGGGCCCAGGAAGCGAGCGGAGGGCGCCCATTGGCCCTCCCGAGGCAGAGAAACGCTCCCATTGGCTCCTGACGGGGGAGGGCGGGATTACCTCCTCCCAGCTGTTCCAGCCTCAGCCAATCAGCGTAAAGCCGGCTGACAGAGGGGCGGGCGGGATTTTCAAACTGCTTTTCTTTGTTCTTCACTGTATAAAAGTGCCTGTGTGTTCTTGTGCTGCATGCTCTGCAGTGGAATGATTCCTGTATTGCATCCATTCAGCTGAATCGCAAATAAACGCCTCGGTCGCTGGACTCCTTTCGCCTGGTGAGATTATTTGATTTTAATACTTTTTGCGCTCTTGGATTGGCTTCCGGAGAAATCTCGCCAAGGTATCCGGGCCCTCTTTGGTGCGGTCCTTGGGCTCTCCTCCCGGGAAGAGCCCCCTAAAATAGCTCGATATCACTTCAAGAAATAAAGCCGATTGCTCATTGGAGAGAAGGATAGTAAAGGCAAAGATAAAGTATTTTGGCCACATGATGAGAAGACAGGAAAGCTTAGAGAAGACAGTGATGCTGGGGAAAATGGAAGGAAAAAGGAAGAGGGGATGACCAAGGGCAAGATGGATGGCATCCTTGAAGTGACTGGCTTGACCTTGAAGGAGCTGGGTGTGGTGATGGCCGACATGGAGCTCTGTTGTGGGCTGGTTCATG